ATTATGCCCTTGCTCTGTTACACTCACTCCTCTTAATCCTTACTCTCATCCGGGTCACAAGACCAATGTAATCCCACCTCTCCTACACCACCCAACCCACTCCGAGCTGGGATCAAACTGGGGACCTCTGCATCAGAGTCGGTTGCTCTAACAAAGAGTCTTATCTGGCCTCTACAGTAGGTTCAGAGGAGTGAGGTTTACCTGCACAACACTTCAATAGCTGACCTACTTCCACTTGCAGCTGTTGTCTTGAATCTTTTGAAATCACAAGGAATCTTTGTTTCAGTTCAAATCATTGTTAATATTCTAGTGAATACATTTATTTTTTACCGACATCGAGGCCAAGGAGCAAGTAAACGAACATCAAATTTTAATTTTTGAACAAAAAAATCTCTTTTTTTTGAAGGTAAAACAGTAGGTTAATATTTAAATGACTTATTATTTGAACGTGCACATCGCCAAAGTACTACCCAACATAATCTCGACAGAACATGAAGGTTAAGTGAACGTCAGCTGCTACAGTTTATGAGCTTTGCAGTTTATCTTCTTTTTCCTGTCTGCTTCTCTTCTCTCATGTTCTCCTCAGCTCTTTTCTTAGCCGAATCCTGCACTAATCTGTCTTCATTTCTCTTCCCTACACGGCCGATTCTATGAGTGAAGTTTCCGCTCTCACTCTGCATCATTAAGATAAGCACATTCAGGTGCAGCGCACTGTGAAAAATGTGCAGCCTCCGCCTTGACACATTTACACTCACTGACTCTTAATGTGACATAATAAGAGTACATTAAAGCCCCTGTCTGCGCATCAAAGAGAAATGACACTACCGCTCCAAATGGGAAACAGCAGCTCCCAGACTAAGTTAAATGAATTGAATAAGCTCGATGACTAGCCATAATGTAGCACTTCCCAGACTGAAAGGGGGCTGTGTAACTTTACCTCCAGCATTCCTTGATCTCCCGAATCGGAGAACTATCACTTAATGATTTCCCGTCACGCTATTAGGCTTGTAATTTGCTGCTCGGCTTCGTTAAAGGTGACAAGGGGCAGGCTTTTAACGCATGCCACAAAATAAAGCCGGGTAATGCGCCTTCATTATGGGAAATTAACATGGCGCCAGGCTCCTTCATCATCTTAACGTTGCTGCAGATGAACATTAACATGTTTGTCATCGAACATTATGATTCAGTGCCGCTTGGGATCACCTGCTCTGGAGAATGTACACAGGACTTTCTAAGCCTGTCCGTCTGAATTTAAGTTCTGGTGTAATAAAAACCAAATAGCATTTTTTTTTTCTTGTTTGGTTCTCAAAAGCTCTTTAGCAACATGACTTATTTCTTTCTTGAGGCAAGAGTAATCTATCAAGAAAATGATAAGGAGGGAAATGTGTTTTTGAATTGGATAACACTTCAAGGAATATCTGAGAGCATTTAGATGGGCTGTTTTGCATTTACTTGAGGATGCTAAAATATTACCAACCCTGTGAATTAGTAAAAAATATTTTTTTTTGGTAACCCTTAGCTTGAAGGGATGTTTATAAGACCATCATGCATTTATAATCATAACATGATACATTATTCATTCATTTCAGAAGTCGCCACAGCGAAATGAACCACCAACTTATCCATCATATGTTTTACACAGCGGATGTGATTCCAGCTGCAACCCTGTACTGGAAAACACTCATAGGCAAAGGCAAGGCAAGGCAAGGCAAGTTTATTTATTTAGCACATTTCATACACAGTGGCAATTCAAAGTGCTTTACATAAACAGGAATAAAAGAAACAAGTAAAAAAAATTATAATAATAAAAACAAATAATAAAACTGATTAAAAAACATAAAAACAGGTAAAATGTGATATAAAAGAATGAAGAAGAAGAGAAAAACATAATAGTGCAATCTGTCAGACGCAGCACAGTGCTCATTCAGTAAAGGCACAGCTAAACAGATGTGTTTTTAGTCTTGATTTGAATGTGCCTAATGTTGGAGCACATCTGATGATTTCTGTAAGCTGATTCCAGCAGCGGGGGGCGTAGTGGCTGAAAGCTGATTCACCCTGCTTTGACTGAGCTCTTGGAACTTCTAGTTTATATGATCCTAATGATCTGAGTGATCTGTTGGGTTTGTATTCAGTGAGCATATCTGTAATGTATTGAGGTCCTAGGCCATTTAGTGATTTATAGACCAGTAATAATACTTTAAACTCTATTCTGAATGTAACTGGGAGCCAGTGTAGAGACCTGAGTACAGGTGTGATGTGCTCTGATTTTCTGGTTCTGGTCAGAATTCTGGCTGCAGCATTCTGGATGAGCTGCAACTGTCTGACAGTCTTTTTAGGAAGGCCAGTGAGGAGTCCATTACAGTAATCCACCCTGCTGCTGATAAAATCATGAACAAGTTTCTCTAAATTTTCACTGGAAACAAAGCATCTGATTCTTGCTATGTTTTTGAGATGATAGTATGCTGATTTACTGACTGCTTTGACGTGACTATTGAAACTCAGATCTGACTCCAGAGTCACACCAAGATTCTTGACCTTATTTTTTGTTGTTTGACCTTTAGTAACAAGGTACACATTTACCTTGAGAACCTCATCTCTGTTTCCAAACACAATGACTTCAGTTTTCTCTTTGTTTAACTGAAGAAAGTTTTGGCACATCCAATTGTTAATTTCATCAATGCATTGGCAGAGGGTGTCAATGGGGCTGTAGTCATTAGGCAGTAAGGCTAAGTAGATCTGAGTGTCATCAGCATAGCTGTGGTAGGAGATTTGGTTCTTTCTCATTATTTGGCTCAGAGGGAGCATGTAAAGGTTAAACAGGTCATACACACTCACATTTACACACATACACTTGTGTAGTTTGTCAATTCACCTATAGTGCATGTCTTCGGAATGTGGAGGAAACTGAAGAACCCATAGGAAACCCACATGAACACAAGGAGAACATGCAAACTCCACACAGAAATGCCAACCGGCCCAGCCGGGACTCGAACCAGCGACCTTCTTGCTGTGTGGCAACAGTGCTAAGCACTGATACATTTTTCATGAATTTCATAAATTTTTCTTCGACGTAGTCACTTTATTCATCAGGGGGTTGACACAGTGGAATGAACCGCCAACTTATCCAGCATATGTTTTACACAGCGGATACCCCTGCGACCCAAGTCATGGGAAACACCTATACACTCACATTTAAACACATACACTATGGCCAATTTAGTTTCTTCAATTCACCCATAATGCATGTATTTGGACAGGGAAACCCACCAGAGGAAACCCACGCGAGCATGGAGAGAACATGCAAACTGCACAGAAATAGCAATTGACCCAGCCGGGACTCAAACCAGCAACCTTCTTGCTGTGGGGCGACAGTGCTAACCACTGAGCTGCTGTGCCTCCCATCATGATACATTAGGAATATTAAAAAGATTTTATACATGCCTAAGTGTCATTCGCTTATTGATGTCATTTCAAATGCAAGACAACTTAGTTTGAAATGTCTCTGTTATGACAACTTGAAATAATTGCATTACAACTTGTCTTTGTCTTTCCCACAGCAACCTTACTTTACCAAGACATTAAAACTTGTTATAAATCTGTCATAAACATGCTTGTCATGAGGCCATTATAATGGGGTATACGCACACACTTTTCATTTCAGTCAGCCAGCCCCAGGGCTTCCGGTTAAGCCTAGTTTGCCCGATTTGGAAGTTAACGAGCTCACTGACAGATCGGGCTGTGATTGGGAAAAAGTCTGCGGGTTCTCTGAGCTCGGCAGTCTTTATGTGTGAACTACTGAACAACAAATAAAAGAGGCTCGCTGACATGTCGCCAACACCTCGCAGATGGAAATCCAATATCAAGCATGCTGAATATTCCAGAGCAGTCGGCCGACTCGACCCTATGTGTGGTCAGATGTAATGATTTGCTGAAGGCAATGAGAGAGCTCAACAGAAACGTCTCTGATTTGCCAGAATGGGCAACGATGCACTCGCTTTATTTTGCGTTGACACGAACAAGAGAGTAGGTTATATTAACAGTGGAACTAGAATTCTGTAACTATTACAATTACTATACTGATCATTCTGACTGTTCTCATATAAGACGTCATATTGTCACATCATATTTCCATTCAAAACTTCTATTGAGACATTAAAATTAAGCTTTGAACGTCTGTCATCATATTTTAATGACACCTTTTCCCTAAAAATAATATCTTTTTGGTAATACAACCGTTAAATATGTAGCTAAATAAGGTCTGGACATCGCTTTTATTTTCACTTTCAAATAGGAGCTATTTTGTGGTACAGAATTTGCTGTCTTGGTAGATATATCTGAAGTAATGTATGTTTTTGCAATCAGAAATTAATGTTTATGTTAACAGGAAGTTGCAAGGCCAAAAAGCCACGCATATTTAAAGTCACAATGAAAAGTAGCAGACATGCATGCAGTCATTTTGACCAATATGGTACTTAAAGGTAGAAATGCTCAGTTCTTTACCGTTTTGTAATTTAAAAAAATAAAAATCTCTTTAAAATATGGAAATTCATTTTACCCCAGTATTTTCAATGGAGTTTCTGTGCTAGCCTGCTGCTAATGATGGCGCCTGCGTTTATATGGTCTTTAATTTTTTTTTTAACGCTTGAACAACTAAATGAACGCTAAAGTCTATTTCACTGATTATATTTGAATTCCATCACAACAGCAATGCTGTAAAAGAAAACGTATGAAATTAAAAATAGTCACATTAAGCTTTCACCGGAAGTTTAACATTGGCTGAAAAAACCCAAGCTGTGCATTCAGCCCATTGGGTCATTGATATATTTATGACCTCTTTTTCAGTGGAACAAACTGAAAGCGCCAATTATATTTAATGAAATTTTTATTTTAAAAAATGTATTTGTACCACTGTAGTTGAAGTCAAGAAAACATTAACGATGCTTTTATAAAATTCATGGCATGTCAAACTGAGCGAAGTTTCAAGTTTCCTCTTCACTTACTTGTCTGGTCTGCCAGGAACTTGCAGTCGTAAACGGCACTTGTTGGCGTTCTGAATTTGGTCTTCTTTGATGCGGATCAGCCTTTGCAGTGCCAAACACCAGTCCTGCGCCACTGTGGTGTTCAGATTCTGGAAATGCAGCAAATAGTGACAACAAGCATTCACAATCTCAGTGATTTTCTAAGTGTTTAACAATTATAGACTACTGCAATAATTATAAAAACCATTACTGACTGAACAAAAATACAGAGCATTTTAGTAAAACTAAAGATGAAAAAATAGGTTTAGGAGGTTTAACCAAAGAGCCTTATTATATATATATTTTTTTGTTACATTATAAATGTCTTTATGTCATTTTTTGATGAAATCACTGCATCCTTGCTGAATAAAACATCACAAACTGATTTATTTCCCAAATATACACATGTGAAATGTGGCATTGTTTAGCCAACCATATATAAATAGACCTTGATACCAGATTAAAAACATAAAAAACACTTTTTTATGTTAATTGTGGTTTTTGGCCTCAGAGTATTGATGAAATAATAAAGGCTTCCCTCTCATAAGCAAAATTCACACCTCCCCAAAGCCAAATCCAATTGAAATACATCTCCAAAATCAATGAGGTCTTCAAAAGTTCAGCCATTCTCTATTCACTGCACTTTTCTATTTTCATTAGATTGTGGGTAGGAATTAGTCATTTGGAAAGAGGCCAGAAAGCACGGTTCTGGTCAGGAAATCAAGCAAGACAAAGCTCTGCTACTGTTTTCACAGAACGCTCAGAGGTAAAAGAAGCAATCTAGCTGTTTTTGTATTGGCTTAGTGGCTGTCAAGGCATCAGGGGAGCTGTCCTGATTTGAGAGCGGCCTTGTGTTGTTTAGGCATGCTGTTCAGAGTTATCTCCCATCTGAACATCAGCTGCAGATCAGATTATGAAGGTTTCCTCGAGTTGTCGTCCAGTTATCAAGAGAACGTTGTGATAATCAATTGACGATCCACAACTTTGGCTGCTGAACTTTGACCACAACTTAATTACTCTGAAATTGCTGTTATATATCTGAAATGCTCTGAAAAGGGTTGCAATACCAGATGGCTGCAACATATGCAACTTATACTCCTTTTGTTTTGATGCTCAATACATTCTACCTCAATCTTTCCCTTAAACTTTGTTCCATTTACTTATGCAACAGTACAGATAATCTCCATTCTAAAGTCTGTAATTAAATGTACGCTCACCGGCCACTTTACAGTAAACTCATTGTCATGTTCAAGAAGCCTGTCTGAGATGATTCGTGCATTATGACATGGTGTGTTATCCTGGAAGTAGCCATCAGAAGATGGGTACACTGTGGTCATAATGGAATGGACATGGTCAGCAACAATACTCAGGTAGGCTCAATTGGTACTAATGGGCCCAAAGTGTGCCAAGAAAATATCCCCCACACCATTACACCACCACCACCAGCCTGAACCGTTGATACAAGTCATGATGGATCCATACTTTCATGTTGTTGATGCCAAATTCTGACCCTATTATCAAAATGTCACAGAAGAAATCAAGACTCATCAGACCAGTCAACGGTTTACCAATCTTCTATTGTCCAGTTTTGGTGAGCCTGCGCAAATTGTAGCCTCAGTTTTCTGTTTTTAGCTGACAGGAATAGCACTCTGTGTGGTCTTCTGCTGCTGTAGCTCATCCGCCTTGTCCATGTGTACATGCCTGAATGCATTGAGTTGCTGCCATGTGATTGGCTGATTACAAATTTGCGCTAACAAGCAGTTGGACAGGTGTACCTAACAAAGTGGCCAGTGAGTGTATACATTTTATGTACAATTATTACCATAAAAATAAATTGGAAAAATATGTACTTTTATTAAATGAAGTTGATGCAATTAACACATTTATATTGTAACAAACATTAGCATGGTAAATAAATTATGTTTATTTTAAACTTAATTATCAAGAAATTTATCAGTTTTCACAAAAAAAAAATATATATATATATATATGACCAACTTTTTCACATTGACAATATTATCATATTGACCATTGTTTTCTGAAGTATATGCTTGATTCTGAAGATTGAAGTAAAGTCTGGCAAACATTCAGTTTCCTCATTGAAATGAATTCTATTCCAATCCAATCAATATTTTTACAACGTTACAAAATTACAATTTAGAAAAAAATTTCTATAGATCTATAGAAAGTTCACCCAAACATGAAAACTTTCTTCCACTCTACATCATAAATTAGCATAGGGTATAACTTTTTTCATTCGGTAGAACAATACAGAAGATTTTTTGCTAATACTGTGGTCTTGATGGTTTGTAAACTGCAAGTCAGTAGCTGCCAGCACTCTGAGAGTCAAAAAAAAAGTTTCTTGGTGTGTGCAAGAAACAAAATTATTTACAAAATGACCATCATTAAGCCTTTGCAACAAGGGGGCAATGTCAGAAGCCACAAATACTATTATAGTTTTGCCTGTACAATATATGTTTTTTGACTCTAAAAATACATTGGAATAACATTTCGGTGCAAATCGGTGCACATAATCACATCTGTAGAGTAAAAGTTCATTTTTGGACTCTTTAAGGGAGCAAATGTATTACTGACTCATTGTGGTTGTAGTAGTGAAGAGTGTTTACCTGATACGTTCCCTGTAAAGTTCCCACGAGCAGAGTGACCTGCTCCACTACTGAGAGGTCGTGCTGCAGCTCCTGCAGTTCGTGATACAGGCGGGGCGGCCCGAGAATGATACTTCCTGTCAATCAAAAATAACCAGCTTCAGTTATCCAGTACTTAAATTTCACACCACGCTTTATCAGTGCATAAACCTCGAAGTGCGAAAAGCACCTGCACTTCAGGATTCTTGATAGCGGAGATGGTCTTTTTTGTGGATATAGGTTCCCGTAAGGTGCTGAATCATTGGAATATGTAATCGAGTCAGGACAGCTCGGTTACACGGTGAGCTATGCTCAAATCAAAAACCACTTTAGCATTTCCTACACAATGCACATTCCTCCATTTCAAATAATTGATCTGTGACCTGCATAGTGCTCTATAATGACATAGAAGATGAATTTCAGAATGATACCTGACCTTTAAAAAGCAAAACAGACTCACTGTGCACCAAGCTTTTTCTTGAAAAGTTTACTCTAATGCTTGTTTTATATTATATTATATTATATTATATTATATTATATTATATTATATTATATTATATTATATTATATTATATAAATAATAAGAACAATAACTAAAACTATATATATATATATATATATATAGTTTTTTTCATTATACAGTGAAATACATGTTGTTTTACAAAATATTTGCTGTAATACAAATTCAAACAATAAATTTACAGTTATTGCTTGTATTTGGGTATTATGCTATTTTTGTTTTTTAAAAGAAATCTTCTGTATTTTCAGAGAGTACACGTAATTTTACATTAATATTTACAGATTATTCCTGTAAAAATAGGAAACAAAAATTCAGTCAAATTGCTTTTAGAGAAAATAGTAATCATATGATGATTAAAGTGAGTTTAATAATGTTTGCGCTTGACCCCTTTCCTTTGTTGTTTTGTTTGCCGCCATTAAGATTATTTATAAGCACCTTTGTCCTGTTTCAAGCTTTAATTGCAAGACGATTCTATTAGTTAACTGCTATTTGATCTTCAACTTTGTTGTGCAGGCGTCCTCACATGACACTAACCCTGGTTTTGTTGTTAAACGATGACCAAATGTGTTATTTGTAAAAATAAATAAATAAATATATAAATAAAAAAAATATATATTTATACGAATTTTGTGTTTTTTTAAGTAAATTGTTTTGGAGTTTAACCAACATATCCTAAAAAAATATTGGTTAAACTATATTATAGTTCATAGTTATATTTACAGTGTTTTATGACAACAGTAAATATTTTTACTTAAGCTTTTTTTAACCATTCTTATATATATATATATATATATATATATATGTGTGTGTGTGTGTGTGTGTGTGTGTGTGTGTGTGTGTGTGTGTGTGTGTGTGTGTGTGTGTGTGTGTGTGTGTGTGTGTGTGTGTGTGCGCTTTAAAGGTATGTTAAAAGTGGGAAAATTGTAGAATATTTAGAGATTTCATGCATAATTACAGGAATGAATCCGTATAATCACATTAATTAATGTGTGTATAATTAATAACAGTAATAACCTTCATAATTACAATAATAATCATAATGACTAATTAATTTGTATAATTGTATTAATAACCTGTATAATTACAGTAATAATCTTTAAAATTACATTAATTAATTTGTATAATTGCATTAATAACGTGCATAAATACAGTAATAATCTTTAAAATCCCATTGATTCATCTGTATTATTACAATATATATATATATATATATATATATATATATATATATACATAATCATTTGTAATTATTTGTAAAATGTGCGTGGCAGTGGCGCAGTAGGTAGTGCTGTCACCTCACAGCAAGAAGGTCGCTGGTTCGAACCTCGGCTCAGTTGGTGTTTCTGTGTGGAGTTTGCATGTTTTCCCTGCCTTCGCGTGCAGGTGAATTAGGTAGGCTAAATTGTCCATAGTGTATGAGTGTGTGTGTGAATGTGTGTGTGGATGTTTCCCAGAGATGGGTTGTGGCTGGAAGGCCATCCGCTGCATAAAAACTTGCTGGATAAGTTGGCGGTTCATTCCGCAGTGGCAACCCCAGAGATTAATAAAGGGACTAAGCCGACAAGAAAATGAATAAATGAATTTGTAAAAAGTTGGTAATTACCAGTTTTTTTTACAGATTAAATGCAAATTATCAACAGTCATAAGCTCTAATTTATTGTTTTTTTTTTTTGTTTTTGCATGTAATTCTGTGAAATAGTTATTTTTTGTAATTTAACAGATAATCTCTGGAGGCCCAGAGATAGACACTGTAGATCTTTTGACAGATTTTTTTTTTTTTTTTTTTTACAGTGTAACTTTAAAGTGCAAGACAAACTCATGGTGCTCCAGGTATATGCTTAAAAACTTGCTCTATGCAAATGTATACAAAATCAAAGAGCTTAACTTTTAAAGACTTCTGACCAATGACAAAACTTTCATTTATCAATACTCTCCACCAGCAATGCCACTAACAAAGAGAATCGATGCTGGAAGATAGATCAATCTCCTATTGTTTGTGGAGCCACAGAGGCTAACCGAAAGGAAAAGGGAGCAGAGTACAAAATGAAGCCGTTTGGAAATATGAAGCCCTTTAAGGGTGACGAAACGAACACAGGTGTCTCATTAGACGTGAAATGTACCATCGATTTGAACCTCGTTCTTTTTTTCCTCTGCCTGCAGAATCAATAGGCGGGGTGAATCTGCTTGACGCATCCGACCGATAGCCCAGAAACAAGGACTGTAATTAAATCTCGTTGCTAGATATAAACACCAGAAGACTGTCTGGCGTTTCAGCATCTCTGCATAATCAGGTGACCTGTGTGAAAAATTGGGGCGAGGCGGGCAACTGTCAACCTCCAGCTCAACCCATTTCTCCAAGTGCCAATCCAAGGTCTGTCAGAGATCACTCTCAATCCCTGTATTTTTCTTTTTCACTGCCTGTCAAGTGCTGCGACACGATTCATAAACTATTTATCCTAAATATTATGTGGATAAAATCATTTGTGCATCCTTAATAAGTCTAGATGAGTGTTCTTAAGTTGTTCAGACTGTTTATAATTTCCAGTAAAAACTGGAAGCAGTGATGTCCCAAGAAAATCTCAAGGATCATGACAATCAAGTATTTTTGCAACAGATTGGTATCTGCTCTCCTAAAACTGGTCCTTATTATATGTTAGCTTTCATGCTGGTGATGATATAGACTTTTAAATGGGTTTGCCCACGGCCTTTTAAGGAGAAGATGATGCTTAAAGTCTTGAGGCCCTATCATACACCCGGCGCAGTGTGGTGCAAGGCGTGACGCAGTAGTCTTTTGGTAGTTTAAGCTTGGTGCAAGAGTCGTTTTGAGGCGTTGCGCTACGCTGTTTAAATAGCAAAGACGTTCTGAGGCGGATTGCTGGCGGGTTGCTATTTTGAGAAACTATAATAGATTTTTCATTAGACCAAAACTAACCCGGTCTAAACTCCAGCGCAGAGTTGCGCCTCGCTTACGCACTGCTTAATACGCACAAGAGAGCAATAGGCAAATATCTTTACATATGATAAAATGTAAATATTAAGGATATATATAGGATATAATAAGAATAGATATAGAATATAAATATAAAGGATTAAAATATTACAAAACATATTATTTTCTAGCCTACATAAATATGAAAAACCACTGCTTTTATGTCTTCTTCATCTCGGGAGGCTTTTTCAGTTCATTCATAACAATTTGCTTTTGTATAATGTTATTATTATTAGCAGTATTATTTATTATATCCATATGTATAGCTGTTTTATTAAAAACAAGCTTAGATTTGTCCACCTGTCAGGTTTCAGACCCTATGTGGCAAAGCATGTGTTTTAGGATATAACTCCGGTTTTTGAGCACATTTTGCTATTATTATTCATTTATTAGTTTGCTGGAAATTAGAACTGAATTTAGTGAGTTTTGAAACGAATATTTGCTCTTAACAAACAAAAGTATTTATTTATAGACTAATTGATGTCTGTGCGTAAAGGTTTCCCTATCCAAGAGCGAAAGTGAAAGTGATCCATTATCTCTCATTCTCACGCAGTAGATGCTCTGTTTAACAGTTTTCTGTTAAAAAAACTGTTAACTGTTAATTGTTTGCTTGTGAAATGCTCATTTTTTCCACTTAGACTTACTTTGCGTCCTGTAAATAGCGAATGCGCTCTTGGCGCGACGCAGCTGACTCTTAAAGGGAATGGGAGATGAGACTCTAATTGGTTTATTCTCAAAACACACCTATAACTCGTTAAGAAAATAAACTCAACCCTTTTAGACCATGCGCCGAAGTGCAAGGCAGATTTCCCGTCCTTAAATTAGCAAAAACGCATCATGACACGCCCTGAAAGAGTTTGCGCCCTGCGTTTTGCGCATGGACCGTCAAAATAGAGCCCTCAGTGTCATTAGTCTCTTAGTGTCCTACCAGTGACGATATACAGCCATATTGCACTGTTGCGAGTGTGGTATTGCGTTTATACAACAGTTCGACAGCATCATCGTGTATATGAAAAAGAAAATCGAACACAGAGAGTCTACAAATTCTTTTGTGAGAGAAATTACTTTCTTCCACTATTCATTTACATCTGCAGCTGACATCAGAACAGCAGAAATCGTTGCTACTTCACAAACTTCAATTTAAACAGATAATACGCTAGAGAATGATGCAACAGGTGATTTTGCACACATTTTAAGATTATGGCTGAACAGCATGAAATGGCATCAGTCTAGAGACATTTCTCAGTATTTCTCTGCTGCAATCAGAATACCACTATAATTACCCCTGAAAAAGCCAAAGAAAGGCAAACACCACCAGATTACTGTTGTGTTTGCGATAAGGAAAAAAGCTAAACACATGCGGGCATTTCTTCTTTCTTTTTTTACTGAACTAGTCTGCAGTAATGAAAACAGGAGACTCATTATAAACAAACAGATGGACCAACAGCTGCAATATTTGCCAAATTGTAGTGAGTTTATTGATCTGCTGTCACTTTATGTGGGCGGAGTAATACACAAGGGTGAAAAGGCTGTATGAGTGCAGTTATTGTATGGCTATCAGCCAATCAGATTCGAGAACCAGACAGAAC